TATTTTCTTAGAAAGGAACAAGGGTTCACTTTTAACATCATTTTCAAAATAAGCCACACCAGCTATGTGCACATTATTCCGAGTCTTCTGAGAATGTCACATCACATCAACAGTGAGAGTATTGTTCTCATACACAATGCTTGTGATAAATTTTGGGTTCAGCTGGTAATGGGTTGTGATCACTTCCTGAAGTGATCTGTAAGCTTTGGTGGCTGTAAGGCTGGCTGTGTTTCAGTTCAGTGATAATCCAGAAGGTTCTCACTAGCTTGGGGCACTGTATCTCAGTGTCTTTGTTGGTCCTTTGAATGCCAGCAGGGTTTACACACCAGCATGTGGCACTACTACTGCACTGCTTGGCTTTAAAGGGCCTATTTCTGGCCAGGGAGCTAGCTCAGCAGTCTATGCACCTGCCTGGCAAGTACAAGGATCTGGGTTCAATCCCTGTTACCACATGTCATGCTGGCCCCAAGCTAAGCCAGCCACCAAAATCGGGAGGGGTGGTGCACACCTGTAATCCCAGTATTGAGGAGGCTGAGACAGGAGGATTACTATGTCTCAGCAGAGCAGTGAGACCCTGTACCAAATAAATAAATGATTAAAAAAAAATAAAGAGCCCATTTTCATCATAGGCAGGGTGACACAGCCTGTTACTGTTCTCGATTGCTCCTTTTCCCAGACTTTGAGTGAGTCATTTCTGTCTTCATCACCATTTGGGGGCCAGTGCTGTACAAATGATAGTATTCTGTGTGCCACAGGAGGTACTCTGGCACTGACCATTTCTGTGCACAAAGCAATTTATGGCCAACTTGTAGTTTTTACAGTCACATGCTTCCTGGGCTGTGTCCACTGTCACCACTGCTGCCAGGAGCAGGAGGCCAAATGTGAGGACATGGGAGGGCACCATGCTGTGGTCAGTCAGGGCTAGGTAGGCAGGGGATGTGGGGCGATGAGAACAGCAAGCTCAGGTGTGTACTCACTGCCTTGATGAGCAATACATTTTTCTTAATTGTATTGTAATAATTTAAAAAAAATTACTTTGCTTTACTCATTTGAGTAGAAAAAACAACAAATACATGAGATCTCAGGATAGCTTCTTTTTTATTTAGCTTAATATTCTTAATATGTCACCGTGTTCATTTGTTTTGGGTGTGAATTAGAAGTGATATTATGTGTTTAAAGCATATAGTTATGTGTTATGCTACAAAAAATTCTTACATGGATTGGTGGGATTAAATAATTATTTTGTCATAATAATCTAAAGAACAACAGCCAGATTTCACTATAATTGATCATATGAAACAGTGGCATAGAGAGTGTGGTGTCTCTGTATGACGGCAATTCTCTTAAAAAGTATTAGAGTGGTAAAAAGATAGATATGCTCTATATTAATAAGAAAGTCTATTAGAAAAGAGAAGGTGGGTGAATGAAATGAGGCCTGAACTAGAATACCTCATTTTGGCTTTTCTTTTTAAAACTTTATACCATTTTGGCATGTATTTTAGACCACATTCTACTCTTATTCTTGACTCACTATTTTGATCTGTTTCACTTAGTGAGCTAGCCGTGATACATTTTACTTTGTAAATTAAAAATCAAAGCTAGTCAAAAGTCCTGATAAAAATAAAACTATCATCTCTAATGTTTACCAAAACACAGAAAATGTTTCTGAAAATCAAAAGTTGGCATGATTTGATCAATTTAAATAGAATCAAAGGGCAAAAAAATGGAAGTGGATAGAGGAGACATAACAGGGAGATCAAAAAGAAATTTAAGATATAGAAAAAACCCCAAAACATTTAAGATTAAATTAACAATTTTAATTAAGAATGATCTCTGATGACAGTCTCTTAATTCATCATCATGAAGATGAAATAAACCTAAAAAACCTGGGGTGAAATCATTTTATCCATGATTATTGTGCATTTAAATAAATCGCTGACCTTCAATTTTGGTTGGAGTGGGAAATAAAAATTTTTCTTACCTATATCAAAGCTATACAATATTCTTTGACATTAACCACTGTGTTAGTAAAGACACAACAGTATATTGGTTTCACATAAACAACTCAAAATATTTTCATAAGTAAACTGTGGTTTTATATATATATATATATATATTTTTTTTTTTTTTAATTTTTTTTCCTCTGTATTTTAGTACAGGGTCTACAGGGATTGGACTTGTACTGATCCACCTGTGTTCAGCCTTCCAAGAGCTGGGATTACAGGTGCACACCATCAGGCCCAGTCTCAAATGCTGTCTTAGTGGGGATGGGGCGAGGGGGCGGCAGGTGCCTAAGCAGGTGCTTTAATCCACTAAGCTATTTGGCCGGCAGGTATTGCTATGTAGTTCAGACTCATAGTGATCTTCCTGTTTCAGACTCCCTGAGTTGGGATCACAGGTGTGTGCCACCACTTCCGGTTTCAGGGATGTCCTAGCATGCAGTACCAGAGATCCAGGGATCCAGGGATGGGACTCCGGACCTTGAGTTTGCCAGACAGGTGATTAGACTGCTGAACTAGCTCCCCAGTCCAATATAAGTAATTATGTCCTAACTTCAAGCCAACTGCAAATAAGATTGAAAAATAGTCACAAAATATTTTCATCATTTCCACTTCAACTACACGAAAAACCTACTGCTAACTGATCCAGTAGCTGCTAGTTACATGAGGCTATTTATTTATTTATTTATTGTATTTTAGGGAAGGGTCTTCAGGGTGTTCAGGGTCTCACTACTATATGGGACTCATACTGATCCGCCTGTTTACAGCCTCCCAAGAGTTGGGATTACAGGCGCACATCACCATACCCAGCCTCAATTGCTATCTCAGTGCACCCTCGGGGCAGGGCCAGCACATCAGGCCCTGGGGATCAAACCCCAGGCCCCTAAGACTGCTAGGGCGCTTTAATCCGCTCAGCTATTTGGCTGACCCTTATGGCTATTTAAATGCTAAAATATATTAATAAAAATTAAGAATTAAGTACTTCGGTCATACATACCACATTTTAAATGCTCAGCAGACATACAGAACATTTTCATATTGCTGTTGTACACCTGAGAAGATCACAAAGCACAAATGTTTTATAATATTGGATACTGGATAACATGAAACAGTTAACCTACTTTGAAAAATTTTTGGCTTACATATGAAGAGTTAAGTACAGTTTCATATTTCACCTTAAAAACAGAGCTATAGAGGAATAAACTCATGTCTTTTTAGAGGATCGAATTAGTAACTACTCCATTTAGAAAGGTCTTACTACTTTGTGGATTCTATAATCTCTACATAGTCCCAATGTTTTTTAACCTATAGTCTACTTAAATGGACAAAAAGATGAACATGAGTTCACATACCAAAAACATGAGAGAAATACATTACATAATTTAAAGATATTGCATAAAGCTTTTCATTGAATTCAGTTAAATGGATCACAACTGGCATTTAAAAAGGTAAGACAGAATACTGTGCTCAATTTTCTTCGAATGATTGTTGTAAATACTGTCCAACTCATCGCAGGTTTTCTGTGAGTTTCCGAGTTTTAAAACTGAAAATGTCACATTACAAGAAATTCTAAGATCCTGGGGAAACTGGAATGGCTAGTCACCCTATAGATAAGGAATACGGAATTTTTTTAAAAAAAATGTATTTTAGAAAATAGCAGCCTATGTTAGGGACTGAACAGCTTGCCTTTGTAGTTAATCCACTTCCACAGATGTCATATTTTAGTTATACTTAACTCCTTGGTTTTTCCTAAATACACACTTTCACATCACTATGACCTTTTCCTAGGCCATTCTCTGCCTGAATGCTTTTCCTTTTTACTGAACATACATAGAATTTACCTATCAAGGTTCACTTCAATACTTTTCACTTCAAGTAATATCTTTGATGGTTTCCTTTTTTCTCATCCTAAACTCCATCTGCTATGAAATGACTCGTTTCCTTTGTTGTACTAGGCCAGCATGTTACTGTTTTATGCTGATGTTTGCCTTACATGTTTGCTTTGCAGCAAAAGTGCAGCTGGCCCTCTATTACTAGTGTTCAACCGTTTCCAGAACACAGGAAATGCTTGTTAAAATTCACGTATAAATTTCAAAATTATTTTACCTACATTATCTCATTTGTTCTGTGTGCTTTGGAAACCAAATTGTTGTATTATTTTTTGACTTAGAGATACTGACTTGTCCAAGGTTAAGTAGTGATAGTGTTGGGATTATGCTTTGCGTGATTCTCTACTAAATCCCAGTGAAGGCTATCATTCACCAGCAGAATTACTCTGTGTTGGTTTAACAAAAGTAATCTATTTTCTAAAGCAGACTCTGTGTACCAGTTGATTTTTTTCCTCCTGTTCTTTGTGCTGGAGCATTTTTTTTTTTTTTTTCTCCTCCAATTTAAGTCTATATGGCAAGAAATGCGGGCTAAACTATTATTTGATGGTAAGCCAAACTGTCAAAAGTCCGCTGGCCACTCAAGTATAACCCTTACTGAGTGGCGTGGCTTCTAAGATACAGCAAAAGCCTTCCAATATCGCGACTGTTAGGGTTTCTCAGTTTAGTATCCTTTTCAAGACATCGAAGCCCTCGTCTGCTGGATTCCTTCTACACTTAGAGGTTTTCGGCTGCAGAATAACCTGCAGTCACCATCCAAAGCCCCGTTAGGAATCGGTCTGAAAGAAACAGGTTATTTTATAGGTCTGCCACTGTTTCTGGCTTTTATGTTTAGTCATCTCATGATCAAAAGAAAGCCACACCCACACCACAGCAAGCCGATACTTGAGGGCAGAAGGGTAAAATAATTTACAAACTTTCGCTGTAAACCCACAAAAGCGCCATTACAGTTGTACACTTCTTTCCGATTATAATGTAATCTACTTATTTTTGATGATAATAACGCGCCCTGCGCTAACACAACGAAGGTATCGAGCAACTAAGTCACTCACGCGAGAGGTGGCCCTTGGAGATCCCGGAAGCGGGAGAGACGAGCCTGCAGTGACGCACTAATCTGCGCCGTGACGTCACTTCCAAGCGTCTGGTGGCACGTTGACTAGGCTTTAGGCGCCTTTCCCAGGAACGAAAATGTCTATGGCTAGTGATTTCTACCTGCGTTACTATGTAGGGCACAAGGGAAAGTTCGGACACGAGTTTTTAGAGTTTGAGTTTCGGCCGGACGGTGAGCAGTAGATGGGCTGGGGACGGAATCCGGAGGGGAGGCCGTGGGGGCGGCGCGGCGCGCCGGGTGCGCGGCCTGGCGGGGCCGGAGGGGGCTGCGGCGGAGCGCGGGCCTGCTTGGACCGCGTGAGGAAGAGCTTGAGAATACAGGCGGCCTGCGCTGTTTTGTGAATTTAAAAAAAAAAAAATTTTTTTTTTTGGCTGTAAATTAATTCAAGAAAGCTGGTCCTGTACCAAACTGAAAAGTTGAATGTACGCTCCAGTGGTGGGAATCCTACAATCGGCGCACAAAAGAAGAACTTTAAAAGACTGTCTGAATGTTTTAAACAGGACCCTCTCCCAGCTGGGATCCAGTGGATACTTAAAATCTTTGACCACTAGCATTCATTCATTCATTCATTTTATACGTTCAGGCTGAGTTAAAAATCTTTGACTACTAGCATTCATTCATTCATTCATTTTATTCGTTCAGGCTGTGTTGAGGCTGGCTTATTTTTTATTATTTTATTGTAGAGGAGGAGGCCGACGTATAAATAAAATGCATATAACTTTAAGTCTTTACTATTGATCACCATAGAGATGTATGATCAAGAGTACAAAAATTATGAGGTGGGGAGGGGAATCCTGCATGAGGGAGTCAAAGCTTCCTAGAGGACGAGACACCTGAGATTGAGTCTAGAAATGAGACTATTTTCTTGGTCTCTGAGGGAAAAATAAAACCAGACTGTGAGAGACTGAAGCAGAGGGCTAGTTGACCCACTGTCTATGTACCATATGGAAATTCCTTCTCTCTCCCCACCCCCTCTTTCTATATTTGGTACAGTGTCTCACTACACAGATTGGACTCCTAATGATCCTCCTCTGTTTTCAGCCTCCCAAGTGCTGGGATTACAAGCACGGCCCACCACGCCTAGTCTCAATCGCAGTCACAGTGGGCCCTGGGGGTGGGGTTGGCACCCAGTGGCTGAGCTTCGGTTTTTGTTTTTTTTTTTTTTTTTCCTTTTTCTTGCTATGTAGTTCAGGTTAGCCATGAGCTCATTATGTAGCTTATGTTAGCCTCGAATTTCCCATGATCCACCTGCCTCAGTCTTATGTATGCTGGCATTATAGATCTGCGCCACCACCCCCAGCCTCAATTTTTGTCGTTTGACAGCTGTGATTCTTTACAGAGTATTGTATACTGAACTCCATTCGCCTGCAACAAGAAGAGTTAAGCTAAGTAGAATTTTTGAAAAATATATCATGGCCTAGGCAACGTCTAAGTTCAAAATTTGAAGGTATAGGAATGAGTATGATTTAATTTCCCTCAAGAAGTCATGTCGTGATGGGAAAATAAACATGCAGCTAACTGTTAAACAGTGTAAATGCATGTTTTGGACAAGGTTCTATGACAGTTTGAGAAAAATATTAAAGAGAAGATCACATGCAAAGGAAGGGAAGCGTATTAAGCATTTTAGGCAGATATTAGTTGAAATGTTTTGATAGCACCAACACATATATCAGGCTTTAAGAGAAATAGTAATTTCTTTTTCAGATTTTCTTTCTGGATCATGAAATAGTTTTAAAAAATAGGCCTGAGAAATGACATCATATATGGAAGGCATGGAATATTTTAAACTTCGGCTAGCTTCTTGTCAGTAAGGTTGCCAGACAGTGTTGAATGTTTACATGTCTAGCATTGATCTTAAGAGCAGGCGGGAGGAAAGATTACGAGAAGTAGTAGTGCACCTGGCCATGGTGTTTCATACCCTTAAATCTCAGCACTCAGGAGATGAGGCAGGAGTGTCACAAGTTTGAGCCCAACATGAGAAGCTTAGTGAGACCATGCCGCAAATAAAACCTTTTTAAAAGACATGGGAATATAATGCAGCACAGGGCCCCTAGTTCAATACCCGCTATTTAAAAAAAAAGTGTAAAATTGTGTCTACCTTCAAAACTATTTATAATATACTTATTTTTAAATTTTTAACAGTTTCTGCTACTATGCACTGAATTTTTTCTCCACTCTTCACAGGGAAGCTTAGATATGCCAACAATAGCAATTACAAAAACGATGTTATGATCAGAAAAGAGGTAAGTTCTTTTCCAGTCCCTGCTTGTTTTTTTTAACCTTTAGTTCATTTTTCTCACATCTGTATTAAATTTATAAAAATTCATCCTTAGGCTATATTTTTTAAAAAGTCCATTTATAGATTGAAAAGTTTTCATTTAAATTAGATGTTGATTGTGGCATTGATAAAAACAGAAGCAATTTGAATGTAGTACCTTGCAGTCCTATATTTAGGAAATTATCATGATATAAACAGTACGATTTTCAAGCGAGAGATGCAGAAGTTAGGGATAAGAAAGAGTTTACAGTATTAATTGTGTTCCAGTGGCTCCTGAACTCTTCCTAATAAACACTGATAAAGAACAGCAACTCATATACAGGAGGTGGGATATCAGCTTTTCCCCAGTGTTTGAAAATTTGAAATGTTCTTATTTCTTTTTTCTTTTTCTTTTTTTCTTTTTTAAAACAAATTAGCCTTTATTCCTTTTTTTTTTTTTGGCGGAGCCGAGGATTGAACTCAGGCCCTTGCACTTGCCAGGGAAGCGCTTATTCCACTGAGCCATCTCCCCAGCCCCTTGTTTTTATTTCTTTAACAAACTTATTCAAGTTTGTATTTTTCTCCTTAGTCCTTGGTTTGTCACAGGCATCTACTCAGCTTCAATAGATTCTTGGGAATACCCCATTTGTAGCTACAACATGTGGCCCTTGGTTTGATGTCCAGCAGCTCAGAAATAGCTTTCTAATGTACCTGGAAAAGAGCAAAAACTCTTCAGCTGTGGTTTTCCTTATGGTCACTGTTGTATAGCTGACTGCTGTTAAGTATGCATTGCATCGTACAATGGCACTTACAGGTGTTTTTGTCTAATCTTTTGTGGACTAAAAGTTAATGAACAGGTGCAAAAATAAATTCTCTTTTGCAACCCAGAACTTATTGTTTGGTAGGAGTTTTCATACATATAAGAAGGAACAGTACTACTAGGCGCAGTGGTATAAGTCTGTGATCCTGGGATTTTGAGGCGGAGGTAAGAGGAATTAAGTTTGGACTGCATAGTGTAGTAAAACTGCCTCAAAAAAGAAAGTAAAACAAAAATATTGATAACCTAATGCAAATAAAAATGATCATGTGAAAAAGTATTACTATTATTTTTATTTTTGTTTTGTATTTTAAGGAAGGGCCTACAGGGTGTTCAGGGTCACACTACTAGATCAGACTTGTAGGGATCCGCCTGTTTACAGCCTCCCAAGAGCTGGGATTACAGCATGTGCCGCCACAATTGCATTGCTTCACGCCATGGGGGTGGGGCTGGCTGGGGAGGCCCTGGGATCGTAAAAAGTATTAATTGTGATGTGTACTTACATTTTTCTCTTCATCGTACAGACCTTGTGTATCACACTTAGCCATTTAAATACCCAAGTGGCAAGATCTTAAGAGTTATAAAAATATTAGAAAAGCATGTGAAAAGTGAAGAAAAATAATATCCTGTATCTTTAGAATAGGGATTAGATTTTATCTATGAATACTATATTGAATATTAGAGATTTGTAATGCTCTTAACATTTCCTTGTAAGTTGCAGAAAGACATAGATGCACGTTATGAAATTTCATCATTAATTTTCAGGCATATGTCCACAAAAGTGTAATGGAAGAACTGAAGAGAATTATTGATGACAGTGAAATTACAAAAGAAGACGATGCTTTGTGGCCACCCCCTGACCGGGTTGGCCGGCAGGTTGGTATTTGTAATTCCTTACCTGCAAATGTTGTAAATTGTTAATATAATAATTATATTTCCCTGTGTTATTGTGGTTTAGTACCCTGAGTTTAGTTCAGGGTCTGTGGGGTGTACAGGGTCTCACTGCGTAGATTAGACTCATAGTAGTTCTCCTGCTTTCAGCCTCCCAAGTGCTGTGATTACAGGCACACTCCACCAAACCCAGTCTCAGTCACCCTCTCAGCATGCCCTGGGGGTGGTCTGGGGCGGGGCCAGCATGACACGCGGGGATTGAACCCAGGGGATCGAACCCAGCCGCTGTGCTCTGCCAGAGAATATAATATAAAGTATAATCCTTAAGAATATAACAGTGAAGGGGATTCTTCCTCATCTAAACTTTTTTGGGGGCATGTAGTGCTAAGAGATTGATCCTAGAGACTTACAAAAGCTAGACGAATGAATGCTCTTCCATCACACTATACTATACTCCCAGTTCCTAATTTCATTTTCTGTTCTACTTTCTAGTAATAAAGGAAATGCATAGTGCTAAATGTAAACATTTTTCTGAAGTTTTTTCTGTCTGCCAAAGTTAGTATATTTTCACAGTTAATGAATAGTTCTACTGTATGTTAGTTTATTAGGAATATGTATAGTTTGTTAAATTTGAGACAGGATTCTCAGTGAATATATAAAATTCGCTTCTTTGAAATTTGACTTTTCACAGTAGCTGTTTGCATCCCTATGCCCCAAAGAGCTATTTGATTTGTTTCTTTGTTTAAACTGATCATTGCACTTGGTTCTCATATTCCCTTTAGAATACCTGATGTTTCTCAGATGGCGTCTGAAGAACTTTGAGGACCTAATTTTACTTTGTAGAAACACAGTTTGGTTTCTGAATTGAGTCTTTTCAACTTTCAGAGAAATGAGATATAACTCTTGGAAGAGAGAAACATTTAATTTCAGTGTTATATTCCATTTATTCTATGTATTTGGTACAGGGTCTCACTACACAGATCAGACTTATAGCAAACCTCCTGTTTTTAGCCTTCAAAGCTTTGGGATTACAGATGCATGCCACCATGCCCAGTCTCAGTTACTGTCTCAGCGTGTCCCTGGGGTGGGACCAGCACAGCATGCCGGGGATCAAACCCTTTTCCCTGAGTCTGCCTAAGCAAGGACTTTAATCTGCTGAGCTAACTGGCTGGCCCCTTCATTGTTACATTCTTGAGGATTATACTTTATATTCTATTCTTTGACTAGAGGAAAAATGTAGAGAAATCTAACAGATACTCACACTCAGTAACAATAATTTATCTATATTTTAAGAAACGTTATTTAGGAAAACAAAAGTAAGATAGGTTTTTTTTTGTTTGTTTGTTTGATTTTGGTTTTGTTTTGTTGGTACCAGGGATTAAACTCAGGACCTTGCACTTTCCAGGCACTGGCGATTATGCCACTGAACTATCTCCCTGGCCCCAAAACAAAATAATATAGAACAGCTTTTTCATTTTTTAATGAATTTAGTACAGGGTCTACAGGGTGTGCAGGGTCTCACTATGTAGATTGGACTCAGTGATTCTCCTGTTCCAGCCTCCCAAGTGCTGAGATTACACATGTGTGCCACCATACCCAGTCTTAATTTCTATCTCAGTGTCCCCTGGGGGCAGGGCTGAAATGACGCGCTGTAGACTGAACCCCAGCCACTGTGCTCTGCCAAAGCAGATGCTTTAGTCCACTGAGCTATCTGGTCAGCCCTATAAAGCAGTATTTTTATTATATCACTTACAGAAAACAAGTATAGATTTCAAATTGTTTTATGCATTTATAAATATATACCAAAATGCAGAAACAACAGTAGCTAACATTTTATATCTTTTCAACTTAGAGAGAAAATGGTATTTTACCTACCAACTTGATGTGTTTATAGGTTTTAGTTAGTGGGCAGAAGCAGGCATGCTTCAGTAATAGGGGGGCGAAAGATTAATACGATCTGAAGAAAAACCAGAGTATAATGCTCCAGTAATTACCTGTTGGATTATTATGTCAAAATTTTGCAATTGTTAGAGAATTTTCCTTAACTTTCCATTTAATGTATGCCGTAAATTCTATGGTTAGGTCTCTTGATTGTGTACCTAGGACTGTCTTTTAATGCTATGTTTGTTAATTTAACTTGCAAATTTATTACAGAATAACTCTTTATTAACTTTAGATTTACAGATAAAATATTAAGAGAAAAAATTTATATTATAATAATATGGCTTCTGTGAAGAAATATATAAGCCATATTTGTTTTACAGGTTCTTAACTGTAATTGATGAATGCAAAAAAGTGTTAAGTCTTTAAGTCTGAACAGTCTTGGAATCAATTATTGATAATGTCACTTATTAGTGATTATAAATATCATGTATTTTCCTGTACTTTGAGTTTGGCACATTTGTAAAATAAACCTAATAAAGATTTTATAAGGTTATTTTTGGTATTACAAAAGCATTCCTAGTAAATAGCAGGTGTTAAGGTGGTAGCTTTTATTAATATACATTCTATTTGCAGAATTTATCAAGGGAAATTATTTATGTTTGATGTACTAACCACAGGTTTATACTTTTGTAATTATACCACATGCTTTGAAGGGACGCTTCTGGTGTTTACTGACACTATAAGAAACTTCTGTGTCATTATAGTGTTGTCTTTATGATGATTCTGGAAAGCAGGTCTTGGTTGTCTGTCATTTGGGGTAGTGGGTAGTACTTGTGAACAGTGAGGTTTTTATTTAGAAGACTTGGTATATATCTAACAGGTTTTGTCCTCTCCTCTGTTTCCATTGGCTGCTAGAAAATTTACAGCTAAAAGTGAAACCCCTCTCTGGCAAGAATGCAGATTATCTCTAGGATAGATTTTTATACTAACTATATATTTTTGCTTTTTTCTAGGAGCTTGAAATTGTAATTGGAGATGAACATATTTCTTTTACAACATCAAAGATAGGTTCTCTTATTGATGTAAATCAGTCGAAGTGAGTATGTTAAATTAGCTAAATTACATAATGTATTAGAGACTTATTTTAGAACTGCAGTGGGCTTGTGAGTCAGGATTGGTATCCATTGCAGAACTAATTCTGATGTGCTGTTCTTAAAGATGCATTATCTTTCTATTGGAGAAGTTACCAGGGTCTTTTACTATTGAAAGCATCCTCATCCAAAATCTTACCTATTATAGTCTGTCCCATAATTACTGTGATCCATACATTAGCCATACTAATGCCCAATATTTATTAGTTATTTTCTGTGGAACTCTGGATATAGGGTCACAAAATTTGAAGAAATTCTTACTGAATTATATCAGCCTCATTGGTTCCATATATTATCACCCTTTTTCCCATTTAATAATTGAAAAAGTGACAAAATTCCAGTATATTTACATGTGTCTAATTCTGTGTCTCCTTTGGGCTACTCAGTGCATAATACTGTATTGCCTTTGATCCAAGTGCTTTCCTTTAAAATGTCCTGCGTCTTTCTGCCTCTTTCCTTTAAAATGTTCCCATGGTGCTTTCACTTTTTCTTATCACCCAGATCATAACAACTGGTCTGCTTCACTGGCCCCTTGCCCCACTTATGAGGGATTGAACTTGTGGCCTTGGCACTGAGCTACCTCCTCAACCCTTTTTAAATTTTTGAGATATGGTTTGCTCAGTTGCCCAGGCTGGGCCTGTACTTGCACCCTTTCCTGCCTAGCCTGCCAGGAGTGCTGGATTACAGATGGGTACCACCATGCCTAGCTTGCTTTCCTAGCTTAATTTTTAATTTTTTGGTACTGGGGATTGAACTCAGCACCTTGTGCTTGCCTGGCAGGTGCTTATGCCCCTGAGCTATCTCTTGGGATCTGCTCTACCATGTGAGCTTAGTGAAACCCTTGCTTTGTTTTCTGCATTGTCGTAGTGCCTTGAACAGAATAGATGCTTTATGTAACAAAAGAATGTGTGCAGAACAACTAAGGATACTAAAGGCTGTTGTCACAGAGAGCAATAGTTCGCTTTTAAACTATCAGTTTTCTTAGTGTTGCCGAGTATGTGGCTGTTACTGGTCACATGGCTTTTTTGGAAGCAGTTTGGAGCATATACATGTGAAACTTAACATCTTCATTCATCTTTACCCTAATAACTTCATGCAAGCATCTATTTGAAGGATATCCTCAGATGTTAGTAAACTTTATTTTGCATAAAGATGATCACTGAAGCATTACTCATAACTGGAAGTAGTGCATATGTTTAACAAGGAGGCAATAGTTAAATTATCAGTGAAGTGTTTCTTTTTTAATGCTACGAGAAAAGTAATATAAAAGTGCCATAGAGATGAATTTAGTTATGAAGGAAGAAAAAAGACACCAAATGTTTATTGTCAGTATGTAGGATGGTAGGACTACAAAATTTATCTTTTTCATTGTGTTTTGTGATGTATAGCTGTTACTTTCTATCGGGAGATAAGCACTTTCTGAAAGTACTGATGAATAGATAGGTGCTGAATCATTCACTTGGTTCAGTGTTAGCAAAATTTCTTTCTCCTAAATTCCATGAAACTTGTTACAAGTTTTTTAATTTTGTTTTAGGAATTGTAAAATTATGTCCCATTAGGATTAAAAAACTAACTTTTACCTTTTTAAATTGCAGAGATCCAGAAGGCCTTCGAGTATTTTACTATTTGGTACAAGACTTGAAATGTTTAGTTTTCAGTCTCATTGGATTGCACTTCAAGATTAAACCAATTTAAATTGTATATTTATGAAGATCTTTGTATATTTGAGGGGTGGGCAAGGGAGGGTTTGTCATTTATAATAAGATTTTTATGAATGTGAAAAAACTTTTTGTATGTAAACCGAGGATAGGAAAATATATCAATGGACTGAATGGTTTTTCTCCCTTGGGTGTAAGTGGGTAAGACTGTCCATGTACACATTAAATTCTGTAAATAAAAGCCACTTTTTGTTGAAATTTTGCTCTAATAAAACATCGAAGTCTTTATGAAAAGCTTTTTGTTGCTTTTTTTTTTTTTTTCAAGAAGCTTTGTCTATGGTTCACCTAACTGTAAGAAATTGTGATAGAAACATCCTACAGCAGGAATTCTTGCAGGTAGAATATGTAGCCACATTTATATCCATTAAAAGCAATTGCTGATCTTTCCTTATTTCTCCCATACCTGATAGGATTTACTTTATGGCTTTTTACTGAAGTTGTTTATGGAAGGGTTTTTTTTTTTTTTAACATTAATTACAAACCCTTTGAGATAAATGACACTTAAATATTTTTGCCATAAGCAGTAATTGTCTAAAGTGTTAGGAATATAGGTAGTACCCCAAGTTAGGCATATCTTTGATTGTACCTTTACTCTGTGTGTATGTGTGTGCTGAATGACTTCAATATAAAATTTGTTTTTTTGGGGGGAGGATCTTTTTGAGATAGGGTTTTGCTATACAGTTCAGGCTGGCCTTGAACTCACTTCGTGCTCTAGGCTGGCCTCACATGGAGCTCATTGTCCTGAGTACTGGTATTACAGGTGTGTACCACCACACCTGGCTTTTTGGTTTCAGATGGTGTTGTTATGTAGTTCAGGCTGATTGAACTTACTGTGTCGCTCAAGCAAGCCTTGGACTCTCAGTGATCCTTCTGCCCCGTATTACAGATGTATGCCACTATAAATGGTCTAAACTGTTGAACAGCTCTGTGACTGAGATATGTGTGTATTTTTTTCTTTTTCAGTTCTGATGAACACAGGTCTCATTGGTTTCCCAGTTCCCTTCAACAACTTTTATATTTTTATTTTTTGCAGTACTGGGGATCAAACTCGGGACCGTACGTTTGCCAGGCAGGTGCTTATGTCACTGAGCTGTCTCCCCAGCTCTCCTTCAAAGACTTTCTGATAGAATTCATTTTCATTATGTTCACTAGCAATTATACTGGTATTCCTCCTGCCTTTGAACTCCCACTCTGAAGGTGTTCTGTCCTGGAAGTTATAATCTGCTTGGTGCAGGGACCAGTCAGTACTGTTGTTAGGGTGGGAATGCTTCTGAAGGTTTACCAGGCTTCCTATGCTACTAGAAGCACAATGGCTGTATCCAGTACACTATTTTTTTTTTTTTTTTTTTTTTTTTAATTTTAGAGAAGGGTCTACAGGGTACTCAGGGTCTCACTACTAGATCGGACTTGTAGTGATTCTCCTGTTTACAGCCTCCTAAGAGCTAGGATTACAGGCGTGTGTCACCACACCCAGTCTCAATTGCCATCTCAGCGGGCTCCAGGGTTGGGGCTGACACGGCAGGCCCAGGGATCGAACCCCGAGCTCCTGCACCTTCTTTTAGGCACTTTTAATCTGTTGAACTATTTGGCCGGCCCTTGTTTTCAAAAATAGAAACATATATTGATGTACACAAGTACGGTAACGATAGCTGAGCTGGGGCTATTGATTATGTTACTAAAATTTTTTTCTTAACAGAAAATTTGAAAGATAAAGAATAGTTGAAATAATTATACAGAAAATACTCACATGCTGCTAATAAGGCAGAATGTAACTTGTTGATTATTATTTTTTTTAGTATTGGGAATTGCACTTGGGTGCTATGTTACTGAACTACATCCCTATCCTTTTTTTTGTTTACTTAATTGGTACTGATAAACTTTTTTCTTCTGCTGTTTTCTGATGACCTTTAGGAAGCTAATCAGTCTCCTGACCATACCTGTCGGATAGAATAACTCTAGAATGTGAGTTTTTGCCTCATTGAGTGAAGAGGAATTGTCTTTAGTCCCATAAAAGGACATGGAACAGGACATAGAACAGTATATATGTAATAAAACTTTATTTTTTAAAATGTATTTGGTACAGGGTCTCACTGCAGCTCAGACTCATCGTGATTTTCCTGTTTTCAGCCTCTGCAGTGCTAGCGTTACAGGCCTGCAGCACTATGCCTGGTCTTGATGGCCAGCTCAGTGCGCCTGGGGCTGGGGCCGGTGAGGCATGTGGTGCCGGGGGTCAAACCCTGGTCCCTGCCCTTGCCTAAGCAGGCACTTAGTCCACTCAGTTTTCTTGTTGGCCCTCGTAATAAAATTTTTAAGATGTTTTTTATTATGACATTTAAAAGGACATTATAAAATAATTGGGATTTTACCCTTGTTTTTATGAATCAAATGTTTTAGCCTCAGTATAATTAAAATTGCAGTTCTTGGTTTTTACAGTGCTCATAAATGTTAAATTTTACTTTTTCATAGTAAGTTGAAAACTCAGTCACAGTATTTTATTGGACAAGTCAGGCGAGTAAATCTGATACATGCGGTTCTGATGGACTGCATTTGTGGGGTGCTAGAGGTGGAGTTAGCACTGCACTGAGCCCTGTCTGTAGCAGTCCGTAGTCAGTTGTGCAGTCTGCTTGAGCACCTTGCAGTTCAGTTATGGGAGAGCTCTGAGAATCACACCACACTTAAAAGTGTACAATCCTGTGGGGCTGCGTGCCTAGCTGTGCAGGCCAGTGGGTTGGGCTCACCTGATCTAAAGCCTGGCTGGGTAGCCTGTTTGCCTTTGGTAGCCCTTGGTGCCGCTCTGAAGACATACAGCCATTCAGCTGTTCACATCATTGTGCAGGACAATCCTTAGATTTAAAAAATTTTAATTTACTAACTGCTCCATTTTCTTCTAGTATTGACTTTTTTGGTACTGGGGATCAAACTTGGGCTCTTGTACTTGCCAGGAAAGTTCTTATGCCACTGAGCTATTTCCCCAAGCTCATTTATTTATTTTTCCTCACTATACTAAGACTTTTCATATTTATTATTTATTTTATATCTGCATTTTAATTATTTTACATAAGAGTCTGTGGCTCAGGCTAGCCTTGAACTCATTAAGTAGCCCAGGTTGGGCTACAAGTTCATAGTGATCCTCCTGCCTCTGCTGGAATTATTCAAACCTTATCTATTTCCCTATCATTAAGATTTGCTTTATTTTATTTTTCATTAATTTTATTGAGAAACAAATAGTTGGGGCCGGGGAGATGGCTCAGTGGAATAAGCGCTTCCCTGGCAAGCACAAGGGCTGAGTTCAATCCCCGGTTCTGAAAAAAAAAAAAAAGAGAAACAAATAGCAATGAGACAGTTTTAAAACAGGTTAATAGGACAGTTACAATAATTAATATATTGCATATTGTCTTTGTAGTAGTTATTCATAGTACAAGATCCAGACATGATATCCTGTCCAAACACTATTAGTACAAATCTTTCTTCTCATTGAATCAAGAGAAAGTAGCTATATATCTATCCTATTTTGTATATACAGATACAAAATGGTCCTTCATTTATATCCCCTTTTTTTGTTAATTTTGTCAAAGATGGGTATTCCCTTGCCATTTAAATATTGTAGGTGTGTGAATTCAGCAAAATAATCCAATATAGTCCAGTAGCCCATAATAGTAGTGGGTTATCTGTAGGACTGACAATGTCAGAAGTTGTTGACTTGAGCCTTTTACAGCTCAGCATATTAATATAGCTTTACTTTTTATACCTTGTTTTTATACTTTTCTGCTGCATGGTTAAGACCAAGATAAAGCAAGACCTATACAACAAGAAATGTAACTTTTATATCTGCCAAGATCAGTCAAATCCCCTCAGGATTTATCCTGAAATCCTGTACTGCAGTGTGTAGATCCTTTGTCAGTGTCAGCCATGTGGATGAGTCACGGCCATTGCTCGGCCAATGTGCTCTCTGTGAAAGCCTGAGAGAATGTTTTCTTTCCATGTGACTCTCGTTAGGCACACTATGATGTTGATCACCTTCCTCTGTTGCCCCACAATCTCCTTGATCAGAAAATTTGGGGCGTCAGCCAAATAACTCAGTGGATGAAAGCCCTTGCAAGTAGGCATAGGGACCAGAAGTTCGATCCCTGGGCCTGCCATGCTGGCCCTACCCCCGGGGCGCGCTGAGATGGCAATTGAGACTGGGCGTGGTGGCGTATGCCTATAATCCCAGCTCTTGGGAGGCTGTAAACAGGCAGATCACTACGAGTTGGATCTAGTAGTGAGACCCTGAACATGCTGTAGACCCTTCCCTAAAATTAAAAAAAAAAAAAAGAAGAAAATTTGGGACATCACTGAATTATAGGATGGTACAGTACAGGTTCTCTTATGTCCTGAGTCCTCAATGACCTTGAATGGCTAGGTCAAAATGTTGGTGGTCTTTGTAGCCCTTCTTTATCTCTAATTTTGGGTCTGCAAACTTAAGTTGTTAACCCTCCAGAAGAGAAGCTTATTATTACCCTACAACATATGCATTTGGGCTTAACCTCACTATGTCTGAATATCAGACATCATACACATAACATGGAACGGGTATTTTCCATCAAGTATTGATATGTTAAACTTTAAATCCCTACAGAATGTGAAGAAAAAAAATAGGAATAAACAATTGCATATTTTTACACAGAAATTTAGAAATCTAACCATAATGCAGCATTGTAGCAGGACAGTCCTATATTTTTTTCTTGTTTCTTGTTTTCATTTATTACCCTTTTTTTTTTAAACATTTACTCGAGAGATAGTACAGCAGTAGTTGATATGACATGAGAAGTAGTACATACTTAGAAGACCAGAATGACAGGCATTCCAAGCATGGCCTTAGTATTACAATTTGCTATCTTCAGTGCAGTTGCTTAGTTCCCAGGTATCAGCATATATAGTTAGGGTGAGAATCCAATCAATTAACTGCTAGTTTCAAAACTTGCTGAAGATTCTCAGGATCATTGCCTTAATCATCTTGTACATATAGATGTATGGCTTTGCCCCTGTCATGTTTCCTAACTTTTCTCCTTGCCCTCTCTTCGTTTTTTTTAATCCTCAAGTTCTCGCTTTCCTTTTAATTGTGTTATACCTTTCTATTTTTATTTCTTCTTTTGACTTCTCATACTAGGGAGACTCTATGATATTTATACATGTGTGTCTGGTTCATTTCACTTATGAGTATATCTTCAAGTGTCATCCACTTCAATATAAAGCTTCAAGTTTATCATTCTTTATAGCTGAGTAATACTCCATTGTTTAAAAATACCACACCTTTTTCATCCATTCCTCAGGTGATGGGCATTTTGGTTGTTTCCAAGATTTGGCTATCACAAATTGTGCTACTATAAACACAGGTACACATATATCACTATGATATGTTTTCAGTTCCTCTGGGAAAATTCCTACTAGAGGGATCGCTGCAAACCTCATATATTTAGGTGAAGATTGGAGAATAGATCCTTAGGATACATACATTTTTTAATATTTTTATGTTTGATTTTTAAATGTTGCTTGAGCTGTCACTTGACTGATAGGTAATGGTCACTGGAAAGTGAATTTTATATGGCACTAGTTCTAGGTGAAATAGTTTTTTCTTACACTCAGATCAGTCAATCCATGTTCCTTTTGCTCCTCCCTTAATGGAGCCTCTTGCACTTGTGCTTTTCCTGGTGCTCTTGCATCACATCCGCCTTTCCACTTTTTCCTAGGATGGTAAGCCACACACCCAATACCTACAAATCTTTCCTCCTCTTTTAAAATGTTAATATTTAAAAATTCAAAGACGAGGCGTTGGTATCATGTGTCACCATTCCCTGTCCACCATCGTTTCTGTGTGGCCAGTGAGTTGCAGTTTTGTTGGTAGCTTTGCTTTGTCCTTGCTGCCTTCAGATTATTATTAAACACATAATTTAGTCTGCAGTGGTCATTTTATTGCTGTGGAAATATTTACCACTAATCTTTTTTTTTTTACAGTGAAAAATAGGTTTATTGGAATGTTTTTAGTTATAATCAAAGGCAGAAACATTTAGCTTTTGTCACACCCATAAACATGTGGAAGCTGCTTACAAAGCAATCATATTACAAAAAGAACGACATCCTTGCAGCACGGTGGAATGGTTCTGGATCTTCATTAGCATAATGATTTGGTTCTCTCCATATGCTTTTGGACTCCTAGCCTGACCCCCACTTGATGCAATGATGCAAGAACTTACGCCACTAAAAATATTAGTATGAAACATTGTCATTCAGTGTTTGACTGTACACACAAATAATGAACTGGCAAGCATCTAGTTTCAAATTAGATCCTTGGAATACAGCAAAATAGTTATCTTTGCTTTATACAATTATTCAAAGTACATTTTATCGGAAGGGAAGAAAATAATTGGACTTTCTCAATGCTCCAGTTTGAAGTGATACTTGCCTCTTAGTTTCTTGAAAAAGAAGTTTTGAAAGTTATATACATAGGTTTCATTTAAATTATGCAGCCGTCTATTATTAATAATAACGTCTCAGATCTTGTTTAATGAGGAGCTCCACCATCAGATCAAGTACGGTATTTCATAACTATAAGAATGATGACCACTAGCAAAAGGACAGCAGCAACCAAAGCCATGATGGCTCTTATTTTGCATCTGTGCCACCACACTTGCCTTCGTAGCTGTTTGGATCTGTTGCTAAAAGCAGCTGCATTATCCGATAAGCTTTCTGACTTGTCCTGTAGTTCGCCTAGTCTCTCCCCTCTTTCAATTACTTTTGTGATATTTTCTTGCATGACATCAATAACTTCATCCACTTGATTCTGAAAATGCTTGATTTTATCATTTCTAGGTCCAAATCTTGGTCCAGATGGTCCCCTTAGAAAAAAGTCCTCTTCTTCATCTGAATCATCTTCCAAAAGATTTCTCCTTTCACTTTTCACAGAACCAGTGACATCATCATCATTTAGGTGGCGCTTAAATTTGGGAGGCATATTTTTTATTTTTGGAGTACTTTTTTATTTTCCAGTAGAGTATTCACCACCTGAGGCTCCGGGGAGCTCCCGGCAGCTCTCTCGGGCAATGTGCGGCTGGTGGGCGGCCGGGGGTAGAAGCGGGGACCGAGGAAGACAGAAGAGTGGGAGACTGCGGGCGCGCACCCAGCGACGGCTGCTGCGCCGGAGCTGCGCCCCCGCTCATCCACCACTAATCTTTGCATAGGCACATACACCACATGGTTGTAAAGTTAGACATGGACTAGGGTGTGTGTTTTGATGTGCAGCTGTGATTCTATTTTCTCGTGTATAGACTCAGACACTTGAGCTTTGATTGACCAGAGCTGGCTGTGCAATGCCAGGATGATTGTGAGAATCACCATGACTGACTAAACTGCTATTCTCTGCTTACGTATATGGACCCCCAATGTATACACACATCAGAGAAGAAAAACATAAATATTTAAATGCTAAATTTATTGAGACATTGTGATATTCATACAAGTTACCTTTGGCTTTTACAATTACAAGAGGTGTTCAAAGTGATGGCCATTAGCATCCAGAGATTTATTAGTACCACGAACTTCTGCTCTGGTAACCTTGGCCCTTGAGACTGCTGCACATGCATTTTCTGTATCTTCTCTAAGGCTGATAGTGTGGTAGGTTTTCTGTGACGTATGGCATGCTCTAGGGTCACCATTATGAGGGCAACACTGTCTGTTGAAAAGACATCAGACTTTTTCTTTTCCAGAAGTGTATACATTTTTTTTTCAGAATCTGTGCATTTGGTCTTTCCATGTTCTGTGCCCATGCCTCTCACAGTTAAGTGAGTGGGCAGGGATTGTGAGGATAAAGGGCGGCGTCTGCTTACCTACACCATCCTATTGTTGGACTGTTTTGTCTTGTTTCAATAGTGAGACCTGTGAATATAGCTTGTGCTGTCTATTCTACACTGACCTCTAGCATTAATGGATTGCAACATTAACGGCTAATAAAGTAGAATGGTGCACTCCCACAACTAAAATATACACTGCGATAAAGGAATGCTTTTACCCCTGCTGAGCTCAGAGCCTGCCTGTTCAGGCACTCCAAATAAACACTGCTCACAGTATATCTACCTCATCCCAGTTCTGTAAACTGAGTGATGCTGGGGAGAACACTGAGTTAAGAATACAAAGTATTTTTTAAAATTTATTTATTTATATTTTTGTATGTGGTACAGGGTCTCACTACATAGCTTGGACTTGTAGTGAATGTCCTGTTTCCACCCTCCCAGTGCTGGGATGACGGGGTACACCACACAGCCGGTCTACAAAATATTAATTATAGGTGAATGTTTAACTATTTTTTTCAACATTTTACTCCTTAGTGGGGCAGAATTCAGGCAGCCATCTGAAGTCCTTTTTAGCTATTTTGATTTAGTTCTGAGGTGCCCTCATTTTATTATTGAAGCCTCATTTGGGACAAGAGTATTTTAAATCTAGAGCATTAGAATATCTTTTTTTAAAAAAGGACAAGTGGGGTAAATAGAGAAACAGCAAATGTGAAACTAGGGTGTTTTCATTTTTCAGTATTAGAGCTTGAAATTTCGTGTCTTTCGCTGGTGTGAAAGTTAGGTATTAGGAAAAATAAGGAAGTGGGAACCTGGCCAGGAGTGGTTACCCCTCCTAATGAAGTGATTTGCCCTCCAAGCCCCCAACTAATGGTTATTTGGCTATCTTCACTGTAGCCAGGGACAGGAAGAGCAGCATGCTGCTGTGACATGATAAAGCCACTGAGGTTTGAAGTGTGACTGGAAGGCTGGAGGGTGTGACCGGCTGTGTGCAATCTCTAGCTAACCATGCCACTAGAAAAGAACTGGTAGAATGTGTGGTTTCTCAAGGCTGCGGAAAATAAATGAAAACTATGTATTCATGTTCATGTGTATGTGCATGTATGTGTTTTGCACAAAAATGAATTTGGAAAACAAAGCTGAAGAACATTCAGAACACTTCAATTTTGTATCTTTCTGTTTTATTAACTGCTTGTGATAAAGTTTTGGCCTTCTGATGTGTGCTGCTTTAATCAGAGGCAAGTTAGGAGTTTTAATCAATCTCATCTGAAGTTAGTTATCTTCTAATACTGTTTTCCCACTGACAAAGAGAAGTTTGCCTTTTCCAGAAATGCAGAGATTAGTAATAAAAAGAAGTCAGAGCTTAGAGGTAGCGGCTGCATGATTTGGTGTTCCAACTAATATCATTCTGCCTCTTTCTAAAACTATGAAAACTCAGATTTTTATTTTAGTTGGTACAGGGTTTCACTACACAGCTCGGTCTCATAGTGATCTCCCTGTCTCAACCTCCCCAGTGTGATGCACACCTGGTCTTTGTGGCTGGCATGGTGTGCCCGGGGTTCTGGGGCCAGCACGATATGTGGTGCCGGGGATCGAACCCAGGTTCTTGCACTTGCCAGGCAGACGCTTGGTCTGCCAAGCTCTCCTCAGCCCAAAAAATCAGATTTTAAAAATTTATTTATTTAGGTACTGAGAATCAAACTCAGGACATTGTACTTGGCAGGCAGCACTTGTGCTGCTGAGCTATCTCTCTGGCCCTAAAAACTCAGATATTTAAATCCATTTTTCTTACATGAATGTAAAATGATTTTGCATTTAAGTTTTCTATTTTATTTAAATTCCCTCACATCTTTAGAGAAAATTACTGATACGCTAGTCTCTGATCAAATTAGGTATTTGTCTCTTACTCTGTTTTCCCCATGAATGTTCCATCTCCCTTAATCATAATGGTGCCATCTTTTCATGATTCTGAATCTAGATTTTTTTTCCTCAGGAGATGTGAGTAGTGTGTTGACTGAATTTTACTCACTTCATCCTCCTTGTTCATCAAGTCTATCGGTGGGCATCCCACCTCTGAGGTATATGATGAACTTTATGTTATGTTAGAGCTGACAAACAACATGTAAAACGTTTAAAAAAGAAGCATGCTCTGCACTTGTTTAGCCCATGCCCCATGGGTTATCCATCCTCTCACTGGCTAGAGGATTGTAAATAAAAACAGGAGAGCCTCAACATTACCACTGTTACCAGGGGGCAAGGAAAAGAAAAATCCCCAGATTTATGGCATGAAAGATTTTTTCTAAGCAGCGGTGGTATCCTGCCATCTGTTTCCCAGCTCCTAAATTGTATTAATGTATCATCCCCTGTTTCAACGCCTGCACTCCAAAATATGGTGGAAGAGAAAAATGTAGCTCTGTATGCCTTAGTTCAGTTGTGTTGCTGTAACAGAACATCTGAGACTGATTATTTATTAGAGTTTTATACTGTAGAGCTCATGACTTTGGAGGCTGGCATGTTCAGGATCTGAGAGTCACTGCCAATGAGAGCCTTGTTTTGCTTTAACTCATGGCAGAAAGTGGAGGGACGACTAGACGTGTGTGTGAGGGACAGAACATAGTGCACTGTCCTGTGAGGTGGAGAATTCCCTCAGGAGAAAAGCATTAATTCATTCATGAGGCCTCATTCCCTGTGACTCAAACACCTCACATTTGGGCTCACATGCTGATGTGGCTAGTTTGGGTTCCAAATTTCAACACAAATTTTGATGAGACAAATCATTTTCAAGCCATAGTAGTTGCATTGGGATTTCTGGGCTGCAATCCTATGCTTCTACTTTGTAGAAATTTAGGAAAGGAAAATAAAAAAAAAATTAAAATATTTGTAAGGAGTCCTACCTGTAGTCCTATCTGTACTGTTAATTGCATTCAATTCCCTTGTGACAGTGAAATGGGTGATACCCTTGTTGAACATGGGAAGAACTGAGGTTGGAGATTCAGAAGGATTTGTTCAAATTTTTATGACTAGGAAGGAATTGCATCTTGGACTTCAAATAATAATTTTTATATTCAGTGAGGACTTACTGTATATGCCAGGTCATAGTTAAGCCCATTACTTGGCAAATCCACATAGTGGCCTTGGGGGGCCAATGGTTCTATCCTTTACTGAGGTGAATCCAGGGCTTAGGGAATTAGGAGACCTGCCTGAAACCACGCAAGGGACCTACTGATATTTCAACCATGTCTTCAGATTTCACAATTCATACTTTGCAGCAAAAACTTTCTTGAAAACCAAATCCCTCTCAATCCAAGGCTGTGTGTATTCAACCAAATCTTACTTTGTTTTGTTTTTTTTTTAAGTAAATTGGGCTCAAACTCAGCCTTGTGTATTCATTCTAGGCAAAGTGTCCTAACACTGAGCTACATTCCCAGCAGTCACGCCTGATTTTAAACTTGGTTAAAGTAACACTAATGTGTCCTTAGACAAATCAGTTACTTCTTAAAGTTGTTTTTGCAGAGAACCAAGTGGCTGTGTAACTTAGACTGTGGAATATATAACCCATGACCATCTTTCCTTTCTTGTCAGCATAGCTTTTAAATCACACAGTTTCCTCTTTTCACTTTTCTCAAGAGGAGGGGGAGAGAATTTGAGCTGGAACACCATTCAAAGGTAATTCATTTCCGCCTTTTGTCTTACAGCCTCTAAGAGATCTTGGACAGCAAAGGCCAATAGATTCCTTATGTGAGGGTCACAGTCTTTTACCGGTATCACTGCGTAGCTCAGATACAGGTAAGACCTGTTTTATTTCCCCAGATTCTTGTAGTACCTTATTTTGCGTATTCTGGAGGTATATAGTGTTTCATTTTGAATGGCATGAGAATGAGGTCGATAGGAAAGCATATTTTTACTGATCGCAATAGAACTATGTTGGCTATGAAAGATACAAACATTTTAATTCACATTTATGGAAAATATGATCTTTTTGTGTTGTCAAAATGAAGGATGGAGGAAGAAATTATTTTTTACTTGAGTCTAATAATTTACATGTTATCCATCTTGAAGGGTTCTATGAAAGAAAAGACCTCTTTTTCTTAGGAAATTAGGGAAATGTGAATAACTAAGTGTAAGCATTTCTAGTGTCATGTGTCACTAACTTCACAAAAGTGTAAATAAAAGACCATTCTGTTGTGAAAAAAAATATGTATACATAAGAGAGTTAGGATAGCTTTACAGCAACTTTCTCTTAGTTCACTGAGAATCAAAGTTTTTCCAAATCCTGTTTAGACAAGATATTATGTTTGCATCTTCTCCTCTGAATACTACGAAGACAACAATATGCAATGTATTAATTATTGTAACTGTCCTCCTAACCTGATTTGAAACTGTTTCATTGCTATTTTATCTTTTTTCTCATTAAAATGAATAAAAAATTAAAATAATTAGAAAATAATAAAATTGTATGTGCAGTTTGCTTTTCAGTTTCTGTCTGTTGGATATTATCTTTTCATTCTGATTAATGTTTAAAAAATAAAATTTAAGTATTTACAATTCAATATTTATTACTATATTGATATCTATTACAGATTGTATCCTTTATGGACAATAAGTAGGTGCCTATTGACAAATTCATTTTCACACAGATTCCTCTGGCAACAATGTACTAGAAGATTATAAAATTTTCCTGTACATGGAATCATTAGGGATTAAAAATATAGGTATTTAGGATCCAATGCAAGAGATTTTTATTTCCCAATTTTGTACAGAGTAATGAATCTGAAGTATTAACCCTCAGACATTTCTTTCACAGTGAGTGTTGAGAGTGCACTTTGGCCAATACAGGTGGAGTTATGCTCAGTTGTTAAGAATATAAGAATATTTTTTATATTTCATGCATGTCAAAATGTATCTGTTTCTAAAAATTGAAAATACTTTTTCTTTAAAAAAAAGTGCTTCGAACTGTTGTTATTTGAATTGATAGTGTTTAGTGATTTGATTTGGCACCATTTTGCCTAACATTTTAAAACAAATGTTGAACATTTTGAGCAAAATTGGTTGGGTCAATAGGACAATAATCTGTTAGTAGAATTTTTTTTTTCATATTTTCTAATAACCATGGTAGTGACCAATAGCAGTATAATGATTTGAACAGAATGTTGAAAGGTATTTCATTTCTCATACAAATTGGCCTCAGTTTACGTGCGTTAGGCACTGAAGGTGTGAATAAACATGCATCCACCGACACATGTATGTATTCCACATCAAGTCCCACGATGTTCCTGACTTGATGACATTTTGAATTAAATTTTTTTCTACAGTAATTGTCTCATGGCAAAGTTTTAATGCAAAGCATGTTTCTCTTTGTAGTCTAAAGATGAGCAACGAGGAGGTAACTTATACAACTGTGAGATTTCTTCAGTCTTCCTCAGAAGCACAGAATAGACTAAGACCTGACACAACTGACAGGCCTAGAAAAGCTGATGACAAAGGTATATGTTGTAAGCCTCTAACCTGACCTGTCTTATGACTTGCCAAGGCTTTATATTTGGTGAAAAAGTCTTATCTTTCCTCTCTCATTGTCAGCTGCTAGTGCAAAATCATAGTGGGGCAGAGTAGCAGAATAGCAGTCTTCTGTGACAATGAGGGGTGAATACTTTCTTTTAATTTGAGAAAATGGGAGGTCATTTTTATTCAAATATGGTCAAGGAGAATTTGTGAGTCCTTTAAAAATAAAATCTGAGGAAATACTGCATTTGCTAGAGAAATAAAGTCTTAAAGAAATGTATATATATATATATATATATATATATATAACAGTATTTACATTCAGATAAAAATATTTCAGATGTCTTAAAGATTTACCAGATCTTAATTGTAATGAAATAGCAAAACAAATTTAAATCAGAAAAGAAATTCTAATTTTTCTATCTCTTTTTATTTCTATTCTCCCATCAAATACTGTCATAATTAGACTAAATTGTAAACTATTTCTTTGATTTAGAGTTAGGCAGAGATACAACTTTCAGATAACAAGGGTCTCACAAGCACAAGGATAAGTAAAACATTGTCTAGAGACAAGTAGGACTGATGACAAAGTAAATGATGTGGATTTCTAGAGATTCCTTTAAGGATGAACTCCTCTCACATTTCCAGCTTCAGAATATCCATGCTTGACTACCAGTTTCTCAAGAATACTGGTGCAGTTTTCCTTTCTCTTTATGGTTGGTTTTGTGATCACATGGAGGGGCGCACATGCCAGTGTGGATACTCTAATTTGTGTGTGTCTATTGCCTTTGGTGCTGTTGAAATCATATAGAAATGGCCCGAGAGGGAGGATTTTGACAATGGTTGTATGTTCTCCAGAAATCTAAAACTTTAAAGCTATAATTCCTAGATTATAAATTTAAATCAATTTGTCTGACATCATTTTATGAAATATCTCCTTGTTTCCATGGTGTCCCTGGTTAGAGTTAGGAGTAGGCCAGGCTCTTTCCCTGATCATTATTTTCTTCCATTTTTATCTAAAGGATTTTCAGTCCCCTGGCATCTCATTGCGGCCATTCTTGGGATCATTTGCTTGCTTCTCTTGATGGCAGTTTTGGGGTTGGTGACAAAGGGTGAGTAGCTGAATACATCTTCCTACCTCTAACAGCATTAGATGTGAATAGTGCAGATATTAGCCAGGTTCCATCCATTATTTCTGGTCTGTCATCAGGGAAATTCCCAGATGTCTCTGGGCTTTATTAGTTTTTCCCCAGGATAAATCACAGTGTCATTTAAAATTTTTATTCATCTATTCCATTGAGTCTGAGGCTGTGGTGATCTGTTTTGTTTTATCTTATCCATGCCGTGTTCCATCTGACAGAGAACTTAGTGATACTCTGCCATCTGAGTTTAGGTCATTATGAACCTGAGGTGAACGTTCATGGAAAAACAGCTGTTCACAAGAAGTGATGGCTTTTTCTTGATTATCTCCCAAGTGTATAAAGAAGAAATGGTTTAGAATGAATCTGTACATGAATGCAAAGTGATATTTATTTATTTATTTCAGGGTCTCACTACACAGCTCAGACTCATAGTGATCCTCGTGTCTCAGCCTCCCCAATGCTGGGATTACACTGCCTGTGCCACCACACGCAGTTTTAGTGGCCTGCTCAGTGTGGGGCCAGCAAGGCACATGGTGCTGGGGCTCAAACCTGGGTCTTTGCATGCCAGGCAGGCACTTTGAGTACCGAGCTATCTCCTCAGCCCTGATTTTGTATTTAAGTTTTTTCTTTTATTTAAATTCCCTCACCTCTTTAGAGAAAATCACTGGTATGCTAGCTTCTGATCAAATTAGATATCTGGCTCTTACTCTCTTCTCTCCTGTGGATGCTCCATCTGTTTTAATCATAATTATTCCATCTTTTCATGATTCTGAGTCTAGATTATTTTCCTCATAAGATGTGATTGGTGTGTTGACTGATTTTTACTTTGTTCTTTTTGCAAATGATACGCTGTTAAAATGAACTAAGAGGTAAGGTATTATAATTTTACTCAGATGTTTTATTTATTTATTTTGCATTTAAGTTGCTAACACTGAGAAATTTGATGTTTCCATTTCTTTCGTCAGTTTACAGAGGTGTTACTTTCTAAATGTCAAATTACTAATTAAAGTAACAATGCAAGTTGGTTGTCAAGCTGAGACTTTCTATTTCGTTTTACATTTCAGTATTTACTCATTATGAGTATTTTTTTTTTGTTTGTTTTTTTGGTGGAACCGGGGATTGAACTCAGGCCCTTACATTTATGAGTATTTTTGTATCATTTATGTTATTAACTTTAGTTTTTCAGGACAAAAATGAAAAGGAGAAACTTCTAGAAGACCTCAGGCAAGCGCATCTTGCACAAAATGACAGTGCTTTAAAGGAACTGCTGACAAATACAACTTTAGAGTATGATATTCTTAAAAATAAAATGAATCAGACAATAAACAGATGTCATGAGAAAGAGAAAACCTTTGCAAAACCTTTGCAAATTACAGGTATGGTAGAAATGCTTAGTAAAAACCTGCATTATTTCTTCTAGGACAGAAGCTTTGAACTCTAACAAGCAGGCTCAGACTACTGGTTCATCTATGGGTTTAGTGCTAAGCTTTTAATTTGTTCCTTATGGATATGATCTGAATATCTGAATCTGATTATTTCAAGTGTGGGGACTGGGGCTTCAAAGCCATGTTGGGAGAAGTAAAGCCCTACAATTCCCTAACCTCAGTGGCCACTCTTGCATCCGTCCTGCTCCCAGAGGGTGAAATAGTTTGCAACTTCCCCTGAAAATTTTGGATCTTTCTATTCCTGTGAGAAAAATTAAAGAGTTCTATCTTATTGGCAGGAAATATGGAGCCTATCATTACAAATATATGTAATGATATATTTAATGATATATACATACAGGGGCCAGAGCTTCTATGTTAATAAAACAAATTACATGTGTGTGTATATGTGTGTGTGTGTGTGTGTGTGTGTGTGCGTGTGTGCATCTGTGTTTTCATTCTGCTTTGGGTTTAGATATTTGGTCTACTTGTAAATATATAGGTAGCCATAGATACAGATATATAGCTAGATAAATAGATATATAGATATAGATAGAGATATGTCTCCCTGCAGAACGTCTGCAAGAGTACTTGCAGTGTTAATGTTCCTGTGTCTCTATGTGATAATAACATTAAAAACAGCTGAGAGATAACATATTAAATTTTGCACAGTAAACTTTTGTTTTCCATCATGACCTGGTGACCTTGGATTGATCTCATTAATCAATGGCTACCAAATTATGTTTTGAAGATATAGTTTTCCAAAGAAATTTTGCATGTTTAATCTCACTTTCTTATGATGATAGAAATTTATGATCTTCATTATCAAAGAATCAATAATATTTAAAAATTTGGTGCACTGTAAAATAAATGGAAGGAAAAGAAAAAAATTTCAAAAATTCTTCATATACTTAGACAGAATTTCAGAATATATTTTAAAAAACTTAATAAATACTTAATACAACTTTACTGAGCTATTATTTCAGCTATAAAATACACATATTTAATGTATTCAGTCTGGTGAATTTGGACAAATGTATATACCTATGTAACATCATGAAAATTAGGGTAACAGACTTATCTGTCACCTTTAAAGATTTTCTCATGTACAGTGAGAACATTTAACATGAATGAATCCTCTTAAATTTTTAAGTGCACAGTACAGTATTGTAAACTGTAGGCACCATGGTCCACAGCAGATCTCTGGAACTGATTCATGTTGTGCTACTGAGAATTCACACACTGAACAACATTTCCTTATCTCCTCTCTCACCTACTTGGGGTACCATCATTTTAATCTCTATGAGTTTCACTACTTTAGATATTTCATTTAAGTGGAATCACAAGGATTAGATTTTTTTCTTGCTATGGCTGTCTTGTGTGACTGAGCACAATCTTGTCAGGTCTATTCATCTTGTCATATAGCAGAATTTACTTCCTTTTAGAGGTTGAATACTAGTCCTTATACATGAACAAACTTTATTTGGCCTTTCTTCTATCAAAAATCCTGAGGTTGTTTCCATACCTGCCTATATGAATAATGCTACACTGAACACAAGAGACTCTTTATGAACTTCATACTGTCATTGCTGGGAGCTATGGCATCTTTATTTACCTACAGAAGGCTGATAAATATATTACCCTGATTTGAAAAATGCTAGACAGCAAGAAACTTAATGGTTCTTATATGTTGTAGGCAAAGCTTGTAAAAAGCACTGGACCTGCTATGGAGTGAAATGTTACTATTTCATTATGGACAATAAAACCTGGGAAAAATGTAAGCAGACTTGTCAAAGTCACGGATTGTCCCTTTTGCAGATAGATGACAAAGATGAACAGGTAATGTAGACTCTTATGTTCACTTTTGTTCTCTTGGACATTGTCTCTCAGCCTGGGGCCTAAGATAAGAGACCTTCAGCTAAGCTTTGTGTTATGTCTGTTTTGTGGGCCAAAATTGTAAGTTAGGAGTCTCCCAGGGATGCCTGCCTGCTGAAAAGCACATGGTCCTGCCATTCAGTGAGTGCTCAATCCCTGTGATGTGATACAATGACTGTTTTTTCTTTTTTTTTTGGTGGAACCAGGGACTGAACTCGGGCTCTTGCACTTGCCAGGCAAGCGCTTGTTCTACTGAGCCATCTCCCCAGCACCCTACAATGACTGTTATTGCTAAGGACTCTTTGTAGCCAGCTCTCATTCTAAGGTATCTGCACTACAGTTCTCACAAAGAAGTATGCATTTCCCTGGATAAAACTGAGCCCTTTGGTAAACTGGAGCCAGTAGTTATTTATCCCTACAGAGTGGCAACCAAAAGCCAGGAGACTCTGTAATCTAGGAGTTATCACTAGGAGCCCAGGCACAAGACTGCCTAGGGATAACACCCATCTTTATTGTACGCTAGCTGGACGACCTTAGGTGAATTAGTGAGCCTCTCTGGGTCTGTCTGAAAACAATATGGATGATAATGATGATTATAAATGTTTCAAAAATGTTGCCAATTAGTCCCATGGTGATTTTCATTGAAAAAAATATAATAAAAGACGATGTTTATTTGATCCATATTCTAATATATAGAGGTATATATCTTCAAAGATAATTATAAAAAGTGAAAGTACACTGTCATTGTTACAGTGGTGAAAATTTCATTTTCACTGTCATGAAGGAAAATCATCCACATACCCAACATGTGTTTTCATTGAGAAATTAAGAGGTTAGCCTGAAACTGCTATTTTTTGTAGATAAGAAAACCTTTTATTTTTCTGAAACATCTGTTTATCATTTGTATGTAAACTTGATACAAGTTTAAAATTGTAAAAGAATTCATATCAAATCATGAAATAATTTTTGTTTGATAAAGTAAAATATAAAGATAAGCCTTTAATTTAAACCATATTTTCTCATTTAATCAGACATTATGTGCTATGTCACTATGAAGTACTGCATTTCATTTTATTTTTGGTACTACATTTTAAATGTGGTAAATACTTTTAAATACCTCCCCCTCTCCCTAACTACTAACCTACAGAAATGCTTTGTCTTAGGAAAACCTTTAATTCACATTTTCACCTATCCATTTTATTTTAGCAGATTTTTTGAAGATGACTTCTCTCACCTAAGATTTTGTGATGATCATTTTTCTGTATCCCTCAGTACACTGGACCATAAATTTGCTTAGTGACATAAAGTGTCCGGAATTACTTAACAAATCTCCAATTGTACAATAGTTAGATTTTACAGTTTTCTGAACATTTAATAATTTATGACCCATTTTAAAATCAATAAATATTGTACTCATGGAAAATTACTTCGGAAATGCGAATACAGGATCGGAGGGGAGCGAGGGTTGGGAGAGGAGCAGCGCTCTGGCCGCGGGAGCAGCTGGCCCCTCCGCCTGGCTTCTTCCTGTTCACCGCACCGCACAGGTGAGCGTTTGCTCCGTGATCTATTTCGCTTCATTTACAGGACTTCCTCCGACCCCTGCTTCATCCGTATCAGTACTGGATTGGGCTGACTTTCGATACACGGGAAGGGAGATGGAAATGGACGGGGAGCAGCTCGTCTCCTGGAGTGTGAGTTTCCGGAGCGCGCTCAGGGTCGGACATCAGCGGGGGCGCCGGGAGGGCTGGGTTTGCAGAGCATCTCTTCTGCTTCTCATACTAGTCCTGTTTTCAAGTGGAGGACATTAGAACAGGAACAGATAGCGAAGGTGTTTGAGAAAGTGTAGTTCAAAAGGAAGAGGAGTGTCCTACAGGTATTAGTCATTACAAAAGCATAATGCTAGGAGCACAGAATAAAGCAAATATACATTTTAAGGTGATAGGGAGTGATTGGCTGCCTTGATTTATGCTGTGCTTTGTATAACTAACATATATGTATATGTTTATACATTGCTTACAATATAGAAGGACATGTATACATATATAAGGAAAACATGTACAACACTTTCCATTTTGAAACAGTGTTATATAAACCATTAGATTTACACTTAATTCTAATCTGCTATAAAACTCTTGAGAAGGAGTTTTTTTTTTTTTTTTTTTTTTTTTTTTTTTTTGCT